GAATGTCCGCTCTCTCGCCGGGCTGATTTATGATGTTTTTCTTCTCATTAAAGGCTGTTAGAGATTAGCAAGAAGCCTGCATTCAGTCTGATTTATTATCCACACACAAGGCAACATTTTCTACCGCTGCAGAACTCTGCTAAGGACTCTGCTAAGAGGTCAAGTTTTTCCTATCGGCACAAGCGTCCATCGGCACAGGGGAAGTGTGCCAGGCGCCATCTTATCTCAACAGGTTATGGAAGCTAGCCAAGCTTTGGAAGCTGTTGTCACGTCGTGCCTGTGTGTGTGGGAGCCAGCTGGAGCCCCTGCCTAACGTTTGAGGAAGTGAAGCTTGCTGGGGAGGATCTCATCTTCAGGACCGGGTGCCAAGAGGATCTGCTGTTACGTGAGTAGGCTCAGCCCCGGGGGAGAAGATGGCAGATGGACAGGAGTCATTCTCAGTCCCCTTTGAAAAATTAAATGGGAGCAACTGGGAGGAGTGGTCAAGGAAGCTGAAGGCCTGGCTGGTAGCCAAGGGTCTGTGGGAGGCGACCCAAAGGCCCCCACAGCAAGCTGCAGCCGGAGCTGCAGCAGCGGTTGTTGCAGCTGCCCAAGCCTCACAGAGGAAAGACCAGAAAGCCCTAGAAGCTATAGTGCTCAGTTTGGAGGGCTCACAGCTACCTTTGGTGGAGGGTCTTGACAGTGCCCAGGCTGTTTGGCAGGAGATGGAGAGGGTTTGCTGAGAAACCACAGCGGAAGCCAAAAGCCACGTCCCCAGATGCAGTACAGCCTCAAGGAGAGCTGCTGGCAAGGTTGGGGGGGCAGAGAAGACCAAAGGCAAGTTTGCAAAGTTTTCCACCGGTTGTTTGTGTGACGAGGAGGAACGCCGTCTCAGAGAAGGCCGAGCTGGCGCAAGGTGCCCTGCTGGTAACAGAGGGGGGGGGCAAGCCAGAAGGCACAGTTCAGGCTTTTTCCACTCGTCGTTGTTTTGTCTGTGGGTCTGTTGGCCATCTGCGTCGGTCCTGTCCGAGGAGAGCCAGAGAGGCCGGGCAGGATGTCTCCAAGGTCGCTTCCCATGGCAGTCAGCCAAGTCCTCATGGCAGCCAGCCAGGTTTCCATGGCAGCCAGTCTAGGAGAGGAGGCCAGCGTGGGAATGCAAAGGGAGGACGTGACAGAGGAAGTGAGAAGGACAGATCTTCTTATCACCTAGCTGCCTCCATGGCAACGCTGAAGGACAACTCCGATGAGGGCAGCATGCTCCGTTGGGTCATCGACTCAGGAGCCAGCCATCACCTGATGCCATCGCCATCTAGTGGCGAAATGTGGAACTGCAGGGCTGTTTCAACTGGGAAAACAGTCACTTTTGCTGATGGCTCACAGAGACAATTAACCACTGTTGGCAATGTGTTTGTTTCTTTTTTACAGGCAGAGCTGGAAGTCTACGTTGTGCCAGGAATGAAGTGTTGTCTTTTATCTGTATCTGCTCTTGTAAAGGAGGGTTATAAGGTTTGCTTTGAAAATGATGTCTGTTCTATTTCCAGGGGTGGGAAACAACTGGTCAATGTTGCATGTCAGAACAACCTCTTTGTTCTGGAGACACCTCTGGAGGGTAAGGGGAACGCTGAGACAGCACAGGCACGGTGTGCTAACGTTCCCACACATGATTCGTGTGCTCACTTGTGGCACAGGAGAATGCCGCATAGCTGTTGGAAATACATCCAGAAGTTGCCAGAATGCACTGAGGGTTGCAAGATGAAAGCATGTGATAAATTCTTGGATTGTAGGGCATGCAAAAGAGCAAAGACAAAAAGGTGCAGTTATCCCAGATCGGAGAGGGTAACCACAAGGCCTTTTGAGCTAGTGCATACAGACCTTTGTGGACCCATGCCAGTGCCAAGTCTGGGCGGAGACAGGTATGCGCTCATGCTGACAGATGATTTTTCGAGGAACGGCTGGATCTTCTCGCTGAAACAGAAAAGCGAGGCGGCGCAACTGATCAAAGACTGGGTTGCGGCGGTGGAAGTACAGTTTTCCACCAAGGTGCAGAGCTTTCAGAGCGACCGAGGCGGAGAGTTCACCGGGTCTGCTCTGCAGAGTTTCTTCTGCCAGAAGGGGATAAGTCATAGGTTGACGGTTGCTTTTTCTCCTCAGGAGAATGGCGTAGCGGAGCGCAGGAACAAAACGCTAGCTGAGGCAGCTGATGCTCTACTGTTTGACTCTGGTTTGCCTCAGAGCTTTTGGGCCGAAGCTTGGAAAGCTGCCAGCTTCACTTTGAACAGGTCCTATAGCTCTGTTGTAGGAGACACACCCTATTTTCTGCTGCACCAGAAGAAGCCCAAGGTGTATTTCTTCCGTGTGTTTGGTTGCGAAGCTTGGGTGCTTGTGCCAAAGGCTCAATGCAAGAAAGGTGACCCAAGGTCCCGGAAAATGATCTTTTGTGGGTACGAGCCTGGGACGAAAGGGTGGAGGTTTGCCTATCCAGAAGGCGATCAGTCCAGGATTCTAGTCAGCAGGAGTGCTGAGTTCTGTGAGCAGAGTGGTTGGTCAAGGATCCATGCGAATCCTGACGTTCTCTCAGAGTGTCTGTCTGATTCTGCTGAGGAGGGAGAGTTAGAAGTTGAACCTGTTGATGAGGACCAGGTCTCTGACCAGGGTCAAGAACAGGGAGGGGCATCTCCACAGGTTGTTAAACAAGAGCCCAAAAGTGAGCCTTCGTCTCCCGTTAGTAAAGTGCAGAAGGCCAGAAGACGCAGTAAGTCAGAAGGGGAGTCTTCTGATAACAAGGACACACTAGCTGGCCCCAGTGGGTCAGAGGGAGCACCTGAGACAGTGCTCAGATGTTCCACACGCGCTACAAAGGGGGTACCACCTGAGAGGTTTGAGGTCACCAGTGTGTGGGTTGGTTTAGCGCAGTGCGAACCAGAGAGTTTTGAGGAGGTTCAACAGTTGCCTGAAGAAGACACCAGGAAGTGGCAAGAGGCAATGGGAAAGGAGTTGAACTCAATGAGGTCCTTAGGTGTGTTCTCCACCATGAAGCTGCCAGAGGGCAAGCAGGCTGTGAGCTGTCGTTGGGTTTACAGGATTAAGTCCACAGCGTCTGGAGAACCACAGTACAAGGCGAGGCTTGTAGCCAGAGGGTTCACGCAGAGAAGGGGGCTGCATTACACCGAAGTGTATGCTCCTACTTCCCGGAGTGAGACTCTGCTCGTGCTTTTAGCAGTAGCTGCTCAAAGAGGGCACCAAGTGCACCACTTTGATGTGGATGTGGCTTATTTGAACTCGAATCTGAAGGAGGATCTGTACATGTTACCTCCTCCAGGGTTTAAGGGCAATGAGCCAGGTGTTGTGTGGAGGCTGCACAAGTCAATTTATGGTTTGAAACAGTCAGCCAGAAATTGGAACATGTGCCTGAATGAAGCTCTGGAAAGTTTGGGTTTCCAGAAGAGTCTTGCAGACAGTTGCCTGTACCTGAAGGGGTCAGGAGAGACACAAGAGGCAATTCTGGTGTCCGTAGATGATATTCTGTACATGGCACAGACAAGTAGACAGGTGCAAGGTTTTGCCAAAGAGCTTGGTAAGAAGTTTAAGCTCAAAAACCTTGGTCTCGTTCAGGTTTATCTAGGCGTTAGGATAGACAGGTCTGAGAATGGGAGTTTCTTGCTCAGTCAGAAAAACAAGATTGAGCAGTTGCTTGAGAAGTTCCGGATGTCTGACTGTGCAGGGGTCAGAACGCCCATGGAGACCAACTTCGTGAAGGACAGTCAGCTTGGGGAGCGTTCTGAGTTCCAAAACCCTGAGGTGTTTCAGTCAGCGCTAGGGAGTCTGTTGTATCTCTCTCAGTGGAGCAGACCAGACATAGCGTTTGCTGTGAATCTGCTCAGCAGGGAGGCTACAAAGCCCAGTGTGAATGCCTGGCAAGGCATCAAGAGAGTGTTGAGCTATTTGCAGGATACCAAAGAGTTTTGCCTCACGTTGTCAGCTGAAGGTGACGCACGGCTTACGTGCTGGAGTGACAGCGAATGGGCATCTCTTGGGGACAGGAAGTCTGTGTCTGGGCTGGTGGTAAAGTTCGGGGAATCCCTGGTTGGGTGGAAATCCCGGAAGCAAAGTCTTATTGCACTTTCTTCCACTGAGGCTGAGTTCAGTGCGTTGTCGGATTTGTGCAGGGAGTTGGACTGATCCAAGAGATCTGTGGGGATTGTTGCTTGCCCATAACTGATTGTCTAATCAACCTTGTCTTAGGTTGGCAGAATCTGGACAGTTCAAGTCCAGAACCAAGCATTTGGACATAGGTTTCCAGAATGTATGTCAGAGTGTCCAAGCAGGTTGGATACGGCTCAAGTATTGTTCGAGCCGGGAGAACCTAGCTGATGGGTTTACCAAACCCTTGACCTTCCAGCGACATGGGGAGTTCTGTGAAGGGTTGTGTTTGGGGTGAGTTATACTCACAGTTTCCCTCAGGATGCGAGATGAGAGGGGGTGTGAGGAGAATCAGAACTTACAGGGTTAAACAGTTCTGTGTGACGTCTCACATTCTGAGGCGTGGTTATGTTCACATACGGGAATCTTTCTTTGTGTGTGAGTTTCCTTTCGTTTTTGGCTGAGAGACGAAAGAATGTCCGCTCTCTCGCTGGGCTGATTTATGATGTTTTTCTTCTCATTAAAGGCTGTTAGAGATTAGCAAGAAGCCTGCGTTCAGTCTGATTTATTATCCACACACAAGGCAACACTTTCTACCGCTGCAGAACTCTGCTAAGGACTCTGCTAAGAGGTCAAGTTTTTCCTATCGGCACAAGCGTCCATCGGCACAGGGGAAGTGTGCCGGGCGCCATCTTATCTCAACATGAAGCGCTTCTGAAATCCACATCAGTGTTTTTATTGGTAATCTTTTTTATTAGGGCAGAATGAGCCTGGGAAAATAGGTTAGTAGATCTGCCATGGCAGCCTGCTTTCATTTGCAGTACACATGGCACTCTAATAGATGGTGCTCAATATATTGCCATTGTTGCAGTTCCAAGCAGATGCCCTTGGTTGTGAAAGGACCCCCTTCGCAGGTAACGGTTTGCCAACATGCTGCTGAAATATCATCTATCAATAATGCACACGAAGGAGAAACGTCCTGTAATGCTGGAAACTCAGTGTCAGGGAACTGACATCAGAGCTAGAGGCGGAGGGAAGGCTCTCAAATGATGCTGGAGAAGGGCCCAGCAGGGAGAGAGGCAGCTCCACAGAAGGGGAAGCAAATCAGCGCAACACCAGGGATAAAGGGGGGCTGATGGGGGAATCGGCGAGAGGGCTCCAGGACTCTTCACCGGACACCAGCGGGGAGAGCACGGGTCCTCCGCTACCCACGCCCACCCTGCGCAGAAGACTTCCGCGCAGAGAGAGTAGGAGGAGACTGGGTGTCAAACAACTTTTATGTTGGAAAAGATTTAAGAAACGCCCACTGACGGATTCTGCTAGCGACTGAGGCAGCCACGAATTAAGGGCTGTCCAGACAGAAAGGTTTAACAAGGCAACATAGCCAGGAGTGACAGTAACTTACGCACGAGCAACCCCACACTCATTACACTCAGTTATGCCTCCAAAGCATTGTTTGGGAGGAACATGTCAAAATCAAACACACAGCAAATATAACGCCTTAATCAGCCTTGGTCAGCCTGGTACTCTCCAGAGGTTTTGGATTACAGCTCCCAGCAGCCACAGCATTCACCAGGGAGTTATTTCTTGAATTACCACAGCTATAAAACTTTTAGCATTCCGTCGCTAGGCTTCTCATTCTTTGGGGAAGGGCTGTACCTCAGTGGTAGAGCATCTACCTTGCATGCATGAGGCCCCAGTTCAATCCTTAGCGGCATCTCCAGCTAGGATTTGGATTAGACTTCCCGCCTGAAACTCTGGGGAGTTGTTGCCAAGTCAGTATAGACAATACTGAGCAAGATCTACTGGTAGTCTGACTGGCAGCTTCCTATGTTCATTCTTCCAGTTTGCTCTACCATCTCTTCTTTCTGCAGTTTTCTGCCATCTCCTTTTTCCTCTTTCTGTTATAACTTGGGCCAGGTTGTGCATATCTCAGTTAGGTCTATTCCTTTTCATGAGTCTACTCTGAGTAGAATTGAGTTGAATGCATTTCTCTGTCTGGAACTTTAGATCAAGGAAGTGTCCTGTTTTCCGTTTTTTGCTTACCACCATTGTTTCAGTCCTTTATTTGTACCAGGGACAAGCTGAGGCTCTAATGCCTTAGGGTTGACTCCAATTAAGTTCTACTTGTGGTAGACACATTAAAATGAATGAATCTCAGTTAGGCCTACTTAGGGTAGATTTATTGAAACTAACACTGAATAGAACCCGTAGTAAAATCCCAGCTTGGTTGCCTTTTTCCTGTATGTTCCTCTGTGAGTTGAGATTTCTTTCCTTCAGGAAACCTTTCTTCCTTTCCAGGTTGCAACTCTACCAAACTCTCTGGTTGGAAACACGGTCCCGCAGCAGCGGATGAGGAAGAAGGCCAAAGTATTGTCCTTGGCAAAGAGGTATTGGGGGATGCAGGGACCTGTGGGTTGTCTGAGTTTAAATGGGGAGGAAGAAGATGAAGGGACCACTTTTCCCCGATTGCCATGTTGTGAGGTGAACCAGTTCTGCTTTATTCCCTATAGGATCCTGAACTTCAAGAAGGAGTCCCCCACCCTGCAGCCGAAGGAGCCTCCACCCTCTCTGCTCGAGGCAGATTTAACAGAGTTTGACGTGAAGAATTCCCACTTGCCCTCTGAAGTCCTTTACATGCTTAAAAATGTCAGGTAAGGGCAAATGTGGTGAGAGAGCTGGGCCGGTGGGGGCTGAAGAGTAACAACTTCCCTACCATTAAAGAGTTTGCATAAAGATTGAATTTGACATGTCCTCAGTTTGAGGAGAATAAGGATTGACACACCGGGACCATTTGAGCAGCTTGTCATGTTTACCAGCAACGAGCAGGCCAGCCCCTCTAAGAAGTTCATTAGTGAGGCACAGTGGCAGCAATGTTTGCATCTTAACCCCTTGCATCTGGTTTTCTCCTTCTAAAAATGGGCTTTGGGCTGCTCTCTAACTTAGACTAATCGAGGTTGCCGGTGAATCCTTCTGCTTTTGCCCCTGTTACAGGCAACTCTCTGTTTGCACAGGGGTTGCGATTTGGGTCATCACACATGTTGGCAAAGCTTGTGTAAGCCCACCCCACCCTTCCCTGCCCTGTACTACTCCTGCCCCCTCTGGGGTTAAAAATAGTGCATGCATTGGCGGTCACTCGCCAATCAAAACACGTGCAAAATGGTCACCACCTGTACTTTCAAAGTAGCAGCTGCGGCAACCTCCTGTAGCAGTGAGTTTCCCCCTTTCTGGACTCATTGCTGTTTTAGGCCAGGAGCAGGATGCCTGGTGTGCAAGCTCCTTCTCATCTCTTTCCCTGCAGGGTCCTTGGCCACTTTGAGAAGTCTCTCTTCCTGGAGCTCTGCAAGCATATGGTTTTTGTCCAACTGCATGAAAGTGAGTACATCTTCCTCCCGGGGCAGCTGGACAACAGCATCTACGTGATGCAGGATGGAAAGCTGGAAGTCTGCATCCAAGAAAGTGTAAGGATAGCTGACAGGTCATCAACATCCATGGCCAAACACTGCCAGTTAAAACAGTATCGAGCAGTAAAGCATATAGGATAAGGAGCAAATAATAACAAAGTCCCTCCCCTCTTTGCCTGGCAGAGTCAGAGTAGACACTACTGGGCTGTAGCAGGTGGAGGCATGCTCTGAAACTTCTAATTTGTCTGTTGAGAGGCCTGCTGGCTGTATGCTCAGTAGCTACCTAAGTTCTGCCTGTCTTGGTTTAGATCTCATATAACCCCTGTTTTAAAACAGCTGCACTGATCGCTAGTTCATTTCTAGGCCCAATTCAAGGTATTTAGGTTAGTGTTTAAAGCCCTAAATGACTCAGGCCCCAAATACCTGAAAGGCCGCCTTCTTCACTACAGACCCTCTCAGGTGATAAGATCAACAGAGATGACTCCCTTAGTTGCTCTTTAGTTGTGGCCTGCAAGAGGGTATTCCCTGTGGCAGCCTTCCCACAGAGATGTGCCTGGCACCTTCATTATATAGCTTTTGGCAAAGACTAATAAGAATGAGGGGACGCGGGTGGCGCTGTGGGTTAAACCACACAGCCTAGGACTTGCCGATCAGAAGGTCGGCAGTTTGAATCCCCGCAACGGGCTGAGCTCCCATTGCTCAGTCCCTGCTCCTGCCAACCTAGCAGTTCGAAAGCAAGTCAAAGTGCAAGTAGATAAATAGGTACCACTCCGGCGGGAAGGTAAACGGCGTTTCTGTGTGCTGCTCTGGTTTGCCAGAAATGGCTTAGTCATGCTGGCCACATGACCCGGAAGCTGCACGTCAGCTTCCTCGGCCAATAAAGCGAGATGAGCGCCGCAACCCCAGAGTCGGTCACGACTGAACCTTTACCTTTAATAAGAATGAGGCGTCTTCCCATCCTTGGGGTAGTGGTTATGCCTCCTAGGTCCTGCAGAGTGTGGGTGGTGGGAGCCAGTCTCATAAGCGTATGCCAAGCTGAGCTTTGTGTTGGAAGTTGCCTCAGCCACAGAGTTTGTGTCTGCCTTATTTCTTCTGCTTATTTATTACTTGCTTTTCAAGGCCAGTCACTCCCAGAGACACACACAGAGGTCTTTGAACTTAGCTTGTAATTGTGTAGCTGAAATGTGGTCTCATTATTCTTCCCCCCCCCCCCCCATCCACAATAGGATAGCACAGAGGTGGTGGTCAAAGACGTCTTGGCAGGAGACAGTGTCCACAGCCTCCTCAGCATATTGGATGTCATCACGGTAAGCCAAAGCCCATGACTCTGGCTCCTGGATGTCTTTATCCTTTGATACAAAGGTGGGGAACTGTAGGCCTAGGAGCTGAATATGTCCTTCTAAATCTCTCTGGTTCTGGGGACTGTTTCAGGCCACATCCCTCACCAGCCTTGTGTTACCCTCTCCTTGAGCGTCTTTGCCTGCTCCTGCTTTTCATTTGCTTGGATGGAGTCTAGAGAGGGGTGTGTTTGTGAGTGAACTTTAGGCTTGTTGAATTTTTTCCCTCCTTTTTCTTCCTTCTCCACCTGGATCACTTAGGAGGTTTATTTTGACTTTGTGTGTTAATTTGCAAAAAATGTTAGACCACTGAATGTTTTTATTTCGTAGATGTAGTCATTGGGTCATTTGTGGCTCCTTTTCAACTTGAAAGGGAGAACATGTACCCAGTTTCTTTAATTGTGTGCATTTTCCCCTCATAAATTTGCCAGAAAGCAAGCCTGGACTCGCCATAGGCAAGTGATGCTCTTCCAGGCTACATCACATAGCCCAAATGTCTTCCTGGTGTGTTTAAGATAAGTGCATTACTCTAAGCAGCCCTCTGCAAGCCAGAGTCTTTCACCTCTTTCTTCCTTTGGAGCTGCCAGCAGGGCTTAAAAACTAAGCCTCCCAAGTTCCTCCCCTGGGTTGTGCTTTTTAAAAAACAAACAAAAAAACAACCCTTCTGTAATTAAGAATCAATCAGCCAGCTGGGAGCTCAGCAGGATTACTCAACTGACTTACTTTTTGTTTCCCTCCACTAGCTGTGGGAAGAATGTGCTCTGAAGAGTTTATTCTTGGTGTGGGGTGTGATGCTAGGGGATTCAGGGGTTAGATGCTAGGAATGTCTGATGATAGTGGGGGCAGAAAGGAGAGAGGGCTTACAAATACAGTGGTACCTCGGGTTACATATGCTTCAGGTTACATACGCTTCAGGTTACAGACTCCGCTAACCCAGAAATATTACCTCGGGTTAAGAACTTTGCTTCAGGATGAGAACAGAAATCGTGCTCCAGTGGCGCGGCAGCAGCAGGAGGCCCCATTAGCTAAAGTGGTGCTTCAGGTTAAGAACAATTTCAGGTTAAGAACGGATCTCCGGAACGAATTAAGTACTTAACCCGAGCTACCACTGTAAGTACAAAGGAGGTTGCTTTCAAGTAGTGCCAGCTGGATTACAGTTTTTGGGTTGGGGAAGGGATGTTGCTATTATTTGTATTGTTATTTTGTTCCTTATTAATTTATATACTGTTTATATACCAAAATGGCTTCTACGCAGGTTTGTTTGTTGTTGTTTTTTTTACAACTATAGTATCAATTAAAATACATGATAACAATTCCATTGGGGGCACTAAAACTTCCTTAATTTAACATACACAAGAAAACAAACTATTTAAAAAGTTTGTTTGTTTATGACATTTATATCCCACCTTTTCCCTCCAAGAATCTCAAGGTGGTATACTGTTAGTTTCTGTTTCTCACTGTGCAGCTGCTGGGAGTCACGGGACTCTGTTTACATTCCAGAGACAGTCCAGACTCTTGGAAGTCTCACGGTAGGGGAGATGGGATGTGACGTTAGTGGTTTCCTGTTTCCTTTGTTCCTTTGTTTCTGTTGCTCTCTGCTTTCATAGAGAGAGGATGTCTTTTCTGTTCTGCGTAGCTAGAAAATAAAACTCTTTACAATGTAGCTCATACTGTCTCATCCTTCCCTGTGCTGGGAACTCTGCTGATTGAAGAATGTGCCTTGGAGCCTTATCAAAGGCTTGAGGTCATTAATTATTCGTCGGAGGCAATTTCAAAGGCTCGGCAGAAGAACGGATTTCCAACATATACATGGTTCTCTCCCTCCTCATTTAATCCCCACAACAGCCCTGTATCTCCCAGGTCCTATTCTGACGCTCTGACCACTGCACAACACCAGCTCTCAAAATCCATTCCTCGAGACTTCCGGAGGTGGCGCCAGCGGTTAATGGCGGATTTCCTCGATCGGAGGAAATCGCGCCACGGAAAATAGGGTCGGATCCCGCTTCGGCGTAGCGGGGGACCCTTGAGAATCACAGGCGGGGGAAGCCTGTGTACCTGGGACCCAGCGGGCACATTTGGCGCCCCCCCAACCCGGTAAAAAGCCCGGCAACGGGCTCGGAATCGGAGCGGGGGAGAGCGCTGTGCTGTGGGCTGTCTGCTTCTTTCGTGGAGTGAAGCCGCAAGCTGTTAACCAGAGAGCGCTGCCTTTTTTCCTTGAAATTCGGACTTGAAAATCAACGATCCGTGAGTAGGATACAACGTAATTGGGACTGCATAAATCTTGAATTTGACCGAAAACGGAAAGAGGTATAAAAAGGAAGTCTACCTCTTTCAATTGTAGATAAAATAAAGCTTTGAACTTGAAAGCGGAAGCGCAGGGAAAGACGTTTTAGCGGACTTTAATCCAATCATCTAACCTGGACTTTTCCCCCCCTTAAACTAAGGGAAAAGGGGGGAGAATTGTGGATTTGATTTCTGTATAAAGAAGTGGAAATAAAAGGGACTAAACCACCGCTCAATCCCTTGGGAACGGATTTCCAGAGGCAACTCTAAAACGGATGAGAGGTACTGTCTGGAAATATATTTTGACAGCTAGTCCTGCGCAGGAAATTTGAATTTGGATATATTATGTGGACATATTTCTCCAGGTCTCAAGTAACTATTTTAGATAGACTGTTATTTTTCTGAATAAACTGGGGGGACTTAAAAAAGAAAGTAAAGTATCCAAGAACTTTTATGACTGCTACAGTGTCCCCCTAGTGGAACTTGGAATTGTTACAATCTGTTATTATTGAAACTGTAGCTGGCTTGAGGAATTTTCACACAGCTTTGCTGGGAATTTCCACTGTTTGAATTTAACTGCGTGTCTGACCTTGAGCTTTATCTAAAGGAATGGCAGATGGTAAAGAAGCTTCACAGGCTACAAGGTCGCGCAGGGTTTTTCGTACAGAAGAAGGATTACAAAGAAGATTTTCGGCTTCAGGTGCCTCTGGAACCCCAACAACAGCCTCATCGGCACAACCAAAAGCAAAAGGTATGACAAGTGATGATGCCTTTACTCAAGTTTTGGCCAAAGTTAATGAATCGTTAAATAGAATAAGTCAACAAGTAGCAGAGGCATGTGACAAGATTGATCAAAATACAACAAGTATTAATCAGAATACAGTAAGCTTAAACAATTTGGGTCAGAAAGTAAACACCAATACAGAGACTATTCAGAAATTATTAGAGGAATCGGCTTCAATACGTCAGATTGCCGAGGAGGCCAAAGAAATTGCTACAACTTCTGCTACAGAGGTTAAAGAGGTTCAAGAGACAATACCATCAATGCACAAACAATTGGAAGATCATAAATTGACCCTGTCTATGATAGAATTGAAGGAAAAACAAGTGAATCTACGGGTCAGATCGGTGCCTGAAGTGGAAAAGGACAACCTAGCTGAATTTCTCATGCAGGAATTTTTGGACTTTTGGGATCCAGAATTGGTAAAAGACAGCTTCAAAATAGTAAATGCTTTTAGACTTGGGAAAGAGGAGAGAAGAAGGTGAGAGACTGTTTAATTACTTTTCGAACAAGAGAAGAGAGGGATAAGATTTTGGGTTTGCACTTCAAGAAGACACTGGAAATCCAGCGGACAAGGGTTGAAATATTTAAAGGCATTCCGAAATACCTTCTGGATCTCAGATCAAACTATAAGGACTTGGTCACCCTGCTGAGAAGGAACAGTATTAACTTTAGGTGGGAACTTCCCCAAGGCCTATCTTTCAGTTACAAAGGAAAGAAGAGGAAAATAAGATCGGAAGACGATAAAGATAAATTTTGGAGAGACCATGGAGAAGACCTACAAAAAGAACTATCTCCGGAAACAAAAGACCGCTCGAAAACAGGGATACCACCGACGGACGAGGAACAGGCACTAGGTGCAATAGGAGGAGAGTCAAAATAATAACATCATGGCCCTGCAACTTTTAACATGGAACTGCCGGGGTTTGAATTCCCCTCAGAAAAGGAAGTCAGTATTTCATATATTAAAAAAGGAACAATTGGATTTAATTTGTTTGCAAGAAACACATATAACAAGATTACACAGGAAATTGTTGATAAATAAAAGACTTGGTCAGGAGTTTATTTCGTCGGACAAAGTAAAAAAAAGAGGGGTTGTGATTTATGCAAAAGACAATTTATCACCGAAATTTGTTTTTAAAGATGACCAAGGAAGATTTGTGGCAATTGAAATTCAAACACAAGGAGAAAAATTTCTGATTGTAGGAATTTATGCACCAAATGATGGGAAATCTGAATTTTTTAAGAAGTTGCATGAGACCCTGATGGACCATATGGATTACAACATGATTTTGATGGGAGATATGAATGGAGTGGTATCCACATATATGGACAAGGCACAAAGACAGGTAGTCACCAAGGATGGTAGACTACCGAAAACTTTTTTTGACATGACAGACAACTTGGATTTAGTGGATATTTGGAGAATAAGAAATCCCATGGCTAAAGAGGGAACTTTCTTTTCTGAAGCCAAAATGACATGGACAAGAATTGACCAAATTTGGATTACTAGAGGAATGGCACCAAAGACAAGAAAGGTGGAAATCTGCCCGAAAATTTGCTCCGACCATAATGCTGTTAAGATGGAAATGAGACTGACACCAACTGGCTCCTTCAGATGGAAGATGAATGACACCTTATTTAGAGATGAGGAATTTCTTAAGAAGGCCCAAAAAACTTTGAGAGATTACTTTGAGATAAACCTTAGTACCAACGTGGAGAAAAGAGTAATCTGGGACGCTAGTAAAGCAGTTATGAGAGGGTTCTTAATACAACAGAATGCAATAAAGAAAAGAACTCAAAATGAGAAGAAGGATAAGATAATGGACAAAATAAAGGAATGTGAAAAAAGACTGAGAGTAAATCCCAAATCTCAAGAGATTTTGCGAGAGTTAAAACTATATCAAGTACAATATATGAAAAT